AAACCCAGCAGCACCACAGACTTTAAGGAGGTGATCAGTGTCCTGGATGCGTCTTTACCCGACAGCACCTGGACCTTTGAGAGCCAGCAGGTGAGGGGAAAATGAAATACTTTTTTTCTCATAATCTTTAAAACCTCACCATCTGAAGTCTGTATCATCAAAGCAGTTGATTTGATATGATGTTTTAAGTGGTTCAAAGCAAAATCGTATGCTTATATATTTGTCATGATATATATAATTTTTTCTTCACAAGACTGAAATACAAGCGCATTCTTTAGACAGAGCTGTCTGAGTATAATGCACATATCGAAACCATGCGAACTGCTAATAACTTTTAATCCTCATAGAATATTTGACATATTTCAGTATTAGAGTTGTTGAATACTCAGCGCGATTTGACTGTTTGGATGTTCGGTATAGGACAGTGACAAGCAATTGAACAGCTTCAAAAACAGTGCAAAAACACATTTCAATTTAATCTAACATTTTACTGTAGTGAATATTCCATTTAATGTTATTTCTTAGGTTTAATTTTTAAACAACTTGCCAATTTAAAGTTAATGTTATTATAGAAACTGTAATATAAATGAAATAAGATTAATTATTGTAAGAACGCGTTAAAATAAGAAGAAAGGTGCGTATTTTTGAGTTAACTGTTCAGTATCTTTGAAATTTTCATCTGTGAGCACCCGTGTGTGTTCTGTGTTATAGTCTTTGTGCTGGGTCTATAATATGTCTTTCCCTGTCGTATTGGATGCGGGGTCAGTGTTGTGAGCCAATAGCATGGGAGGCTGTACAAAGAGATCTACTCCCTCCCCCATCCATCCTGCTCACTATAGCCAGTGCTTCTAGCGCGGGATGAGAAAAGGATGCGTTTAAACACTGGGATTAAATAATATACCATTATTACACTTCTCATGATGTATGAACGACTATTTATTTCGCGTTCCACGGGTGCCTCGTTTATGGATTTCTCACCAGTCTGTTTTTTTCTAAATGATGTTTCCATGGGGAATAACGCTGAATTCTAGCGGATCGGGGATGACAAAGAGAATGGGATACAGAGACTGGAGATGGCTGGCGCTTTGGTGGCATTATGTGTTCTTTTTATGGAGTACAGTAAACGGACAGACTCGCTACAGTATCCCAGAAGAGCTGGAAAGAGGCTCCTTGGTTGGAAATCTTGCCAAAGATTTGGGTTTAGGACTGTCAGATATTTTTAACCGTAATCTGCGTGTCGCCTCTGAGGCTGGTGAGCAGTATTTCAGCGTGGATGCGGGGAAGGGTGAGCTTTTAGTGAATGACAGAATAGACAGAGAGGCATTGTGTGGACAAAGCGCCAGCTGTGTGTTACCTCTGCAGGTTGTTGTAGAAAATCCGCTACAGTTACACCGGATTGAAGTGGAAATTAGAGACGTAAATGACAATGCCCCTAGTTTTCTCAAAAGTGATCACATAATTGAAATAGCCGAATCCACAGCTGTAGGTGTTCGTTTTCCCTTAGAGATGGCAGTGGATCCCGACGTAGGGAGCAATGGATTAAAAACATACACACTAAGTAAAGATGAGTGCTTCAGTCTAAAGGTTAAAGAAATTGAAAATGGAGGGAAAATACCCGAATTAGTATTGAATAACTCTTTAGATCGCGAGAAAAAATCCACTCACAATTTATTTCTTACTGCCA